TACATCCACCATATCCCACAAATAAATTTTTAATGTAGTTTAAATTGATATAAATTCTATTCATGAATTTTTAATTGATTTAAATTTAAATAACTATCAAATAAAAAGCTATATATGTAATGGCAAATAATCTTTATTAAATAAATAAATAAATAAATGCTAGAAATTTAAAGGAAAATTTGTTATTTTTTAAAATTCATAAGGATATTTATGCTATTAACTTTTAACACTTTTGGATTAATTTAAATAATTAAATAATAAATGCTATATTTAATGGAAAATAATCTTTAATACATAAATAAAAAATGTTAGAAATTAAGGTAATTTATTATTTCTTAAAATTTATAAGGGTATTTATGTCGTTCATTTTAATAATTTTAAAATTCACACTTTAATATATATAGATGATAATACGTCACAGATTTGTCGTAGATATCATATATAACATTATTAATTTTAAGATAAAACATAACATTACAGTGATTTGTTCAAAGTTGCAGAAGATGGTAATCATGTAACCCTTTAATAAATATAAAAATTATGTGGTTTTCATTTCCTGGATAATGGAAAGCAAAACATAGCGCTATATGTTTACGGCAGGTAGTTAAAAATGATAAACGTATTATTGGAAAGTATTGACTTTCCTAAGGTTTCTTTCAAGACAATTATGAGATAATTATGGTAATGAGAAAGCAATCATTTATTGATTTAGAAAATATATATCTAGAATCAATTATAATTAGTTGTAATTTCTAATGTCTGTCATATTATTATTAATTTTCATATATTATCTACATCACCTATGTAAATAGAGTTTTTATGTACTATTTCATATAAATAAGAATATTAACAATGTAGCTATCTCCCGTGGATGTAGGCCACTATAGTTGAACTATGTATTTTTTTGTGTTCTTTTCTCCTTGTATTTTCTCTTACTTATTTTCATTTACGCAATCATTTTTATTTAAAATTTAACATGGTATCAAAGCTATAACTCTAACAAGCATAGTCATCATTCTTTCCTTTCTTTTTGCTATGGTCCCTCATTCTTCCTAGTCTACAAGCTTTTACAAGCATAGTTTCGTTCTTCCCTTTCTTTTTTTTTTTTATGGCCCCCCATTCTTCCTTTCCTATAATGGTTGATGCTCATTTCCAAACACCAAACCTAGCAAAGTCATCAAGCCTTTCATAAAATTCGTTCTGTCTTTAAAACATTTATGATATTAAAGTAGGTTTGATCCTAACTCTTATTGTCTTTTGCATTCTCCATCATATTTCATGTTCTTCAGTAAACCCTTTTTTTAATGGCATACATATTGCTTTTTTCAATATCCATTGAAAGATTTTATCTTTTCACATTGCGAGCTTTTGTTCTTGACTTTGATTCAACTTTTCAACTATCCAGCTTAAAGGAAGCTCATACTTATTTTGCAAGATTGCTCTTACAAATGTTTAGCACATTCTCTTTGACATCAACCTTTATTCCTTCACTGATCATTCTAGTAAAGATTCATTAAATCTTGACTTTTGCCGCTTTTTTCAAGTTGGCAACTCTAATTAATCTTTCGTATGCCAATTTGAGTGGGTGTATTGAAAAGTATTGACTTTTTTAAAGATTTCTTTAAAGACAATTATGAGATGATTCTGGTAATCATAAAATAATCTACTATTGATTTGGACGCAATTAGCATCCTACAAAAAGATGACGTGTAAAATGGCATGTAATATTTTTCTAAAGTTGATATTGGTGATAATAGTAGATTGCATTTACCTTCTAATAATGTAACATGATTAATTAAGTTGTAATTAATAATTTAAATTAAGGATTACTTTTTTATTACTATTACGATTAAAAAAAGTTTAAATTGAAAAAATATATTTAAAAATATGATTAAAAATTTTAAATATTTAATAGTATTGCAAAATCATCATCATTAATTAAACTATCTAAAATATATGCATAAAATATTAAAAACCATGGTAATATAATAATTTTATCACAAAATACTTTTTCAACGTAAAAACATTTTTGAATAATTTTTTGATTTGAGTTACAAAATCGAATTTTAAATAAAAAATTATTTTTTATTATTAGTATTGAAATTAGACTAAAAACAATTTTGCAGGCAAAAATTATTTTTAATAGCAATGTTAAACTAAAACTAAAAGGCTTGGGACCTTAGCTAGCTAGGAACACAACCTGCCGAACTTATAGGCAAGTTCCCCCACCACAAATATTAAGAAACAGCTAAGCAAATTTTTAGATTATGATATTATACTAGTTTGGGATCCTTGTAATTAACACCATTCACCTAACCATGAAAGTCTCAAATTAAAAAAATAATAATAAAATTTGTGAATTTTTAGAGTACTTTTCCTAGAAAAGAACATGGGTTTTTAGACCTATATATGGAGTTTTAATACCTAGTTTAATTTTTAAAATCAAAATTAAATATATAAAATTAACAAATTTCCTTTCTTTTTAGTTGGTAATTTTTTGAGCGATGAAACTATAAGATTGGATCCTTGGTTTTGAAATGATAAATTTAAATGTTTCTTAATATTTGATTCAATAATAAATTTATATTTTTATTCAAAGAACGAATTCAAATTCTGTCATTTTTCTTAATAATAATAATAATAATAATAATAATAATAATAATAATAATAATCATAATAAAAGCTAAGCAATTTGGCTTGGATCTCAAACCATTTACTTGGAGATTAAGCAAAAACCAAGCAAATTTAGTAGAAAAAATCTTGTTTCTTAATTTTAATATTGCGATTGAGTTAGCCTGGATTTAATAAGAAAAGAAGTTTTTTTTAGTGCATTGCATTGGTATTAATGAGTTTTGAATAAAAATTTACTTAAAAATATATCTATGACATCTAAATTATACAAAATAAGTGAACTTCTACATAGGTTTATTATGTAAAAAGAATAAAGATCATCTACATAAGTATGCCTAGCTATACTAAAATGAAACTAAATTAAATGGTCATAGCCTTAATTAATTATAAAAAACGAAAATAATATGTTTATTAGGAAAAATAGCAATAAAATATTTTCAAAAATAATAGATGTAGCAATAATTTTAAAAAATAAAATTTTCTTTATTCTTTTTTGGCATGTTGAGACCACTCTACTAATTACTATATATATCCCTTCTTAAATCTTAACCTAACTAGTACGCATTAGAAAGTTGAGTAACTGTTAAGACTTTCATCAATGTTCAATATTATACAATAATCAAAATTGAAACAATGAGATCTTATTTCAATGGTAAGAAAAAAGCTTTAAAATCTTTAGATTTCATGATTAAGGTTTTTTTTTTTTTTTTACATGAGTTTGATTTAAATTTATGTTGAATTTTTATTAAAATATATATGTTGATTTGATTATATTATTTTTATTAATTTTTTATATTACTCGTAGCAATTATTATATCACATGTATAATTATTTGATAATGATTCTAATTTTTATTTATTTTATAATACTCATAGCCAAAATTGAGAATTGAATGTTGAAATTTATGAGGTCGAAGAAATTTTGTTTATTTATTTATTTATTTTTATAAAATAAATTTTCAAATACACTTAAAAAAAACTATATTTATTCCAATTCAATTTTTTTAAAACTGTAACAGCAATGTTAAATTAAATTAAAATTTATTATTATTGATAAAAATTATATATAGATTTAATAAAAATAAAAATACATATTTCATACTTTTCATATAAATACAAATTATAACATATAATTTTTATAATTAATCAAAGATTTAGAGTATAATAGGTTTCTAGGGATAACGATTGGGACAAATGCAATAAAATTGACTTGCTAATCAGGATAAGGGATGGGTAGGCATCTAAACCTAAATTCTTGCTTAACTTTATAATATACAAATAACAATCTTACCACATAATCTTTTAAAATAGTCTATTTTACCACATACTTTATTGTTTTATGCATAAAAGAACAAACGACAAGAATAACATATTTATTATTCCAATCTTAAAAAAGGTTAAATAATATATGGTTTGTTTGATAAAGGCTTAAGTATAGAAAAACTCTTATACAAAAATTAAATAATTATTTAAGTTTTATTGTTTATTGCAATTAAGCCTTCATATATTTATTTTTATTCAATTGAATGTATAAAAATAGGTATTGATTGTTCACAAAAATTAAATTTGAATTAACAAGAAAAGTGAGTTTTTTTTTTTTTTTTTTTTAACTAACTAAGCTAACCCCTTATGGGTAACTACAAGATTGTTCATATTCCCTCAAAGTATACAATAGCATTGACTTGGCGTGTAACTTAAAATTAAATGTTAAATAATTTTAAAAATCTTTGTTGATAAAGAGGTATTAGTTTTAAGAAATATATGAAAAATAAAAGCTTTAGATTTGATAAGAAAAGAAGAAACACATACTGGTGGAAAAAATGGACAAAAAAAAAAAAGATGAAAGAGTATATGAAAGACAAATCAATTAATAATTCAATATATTTTTGCATAATTTAAGAAAATAAAAATAAAATATCATTTTTTAATTGGAATGCTATTAAATCTATGTGGTTTTAAGGAATACTTTTTCATTGAAGAAATTATAATTCTAAGTATGAATTTATTATGAGTAGTCGTTGTGCCAATCAAAATTTTTTTTTTTTAAATTTAAAATTTAATTCAATTTATTTATAAATAATTTTTTTAAAAAATAATATCTAACATATTTTATATTTAAATTTTAATATATGTAATTTTTTTATTTTTAAATTATAATTTTTTAAAAATAATTTTTAGATAAAAAAACAATATTAAAGTGGTTGATCATCGTTAATGTGAACGGAAAACTTTTCAAAAAAAAAAATAAACTCACATTTTCAGTTATTAATCATTTATTCATACGCTATATTCATCTGTTTTTGCATTTGCAATTTTCCAATTCTTTTGACCTGCGACAATAAAGCCAATCAAGCAAATGGAACAACAAGGGCAAAAGAGTAATATTGGTAAAACTCAAAGTTAAAAGGGAGTCCCAGTCACAATATTCTTCCCACTCTCTCTTTCTCTAGCTAAACACATCCAAAGGAAGGCTCGCCACAAGCTTGTCATCGACAATGGCGACTGCTACTGCGACCTCTGCCGCCACTGTTTCCCCACTTACTGCCCCTTCCAAAGATTCTGTTTCTCGTTATGCACCTGATGAGCCCCGAAAAGGTGCTGACATCCTCGTGGAAGCCCTGGAACGTGAAGGGGTCAAGGACGTGTTTGCCTACCCAGGTGGAGCTTCTATGGAGATCCACCAAGCTTTGACCCACTCAAAAATAATCCGAAATGTCCTTCCAAGACACGAACAAGGCGGGGTCTTTGCAGCGGAGGGATACGCCCGCTCCTCTGGCCTTCCCGGCGTTTGCATTGCAACTTCTGGCCCTGGGGCAACTAATTTGGTGAGTGGTCTTGCTGATGCGATGGTTGATAGTATCCCTCTCGTGGCGATCACAGGTCAAGTCCCCCGCAGAATGATCGGTACGGATGCTTTCCAAGAGACTCCTATTGTTGAGGTAACAAGGTCTATTACAAAGCATAATTACCTTGTTCTTGATGTGGATGATATTCCTAGGATTGTTCGTGAGGCTTTCTTTTTAGCCACGTCGGGCAGGCCAGGTCCCGTTTTGATTGATGTACCTAAGGATATACAGCAGCAGCTTGTTGTTCCTAAATGGAACCAGCCTATTAAATTGCCAGGGTATATGTCTAGGTTGCCTAAGGCTCCCGGTGAGGCTCATTTGGAGCAGATTGTGAGGTTGGTTTCAGAGTCTAAGAAGCCAGTGTTGTATGTTGGTGGCGGGTGTTCGAACTCCAGTGAGGAGTTGAAGAGGTTTGTTGAGTTTACTGGGATACCTGTAGCAACTACTTTGATGGGTCTTGGGACGTTTCCGAGCTCGGATGAGTTGTCATTACAAATGCTTGGGATGCATGGAACTGTGTATGCTAATTATGCTGTGGATAAGAGTGATTTGTTGCTTGCTTTTGGAGTGAGGTTTGATGATCGGGTGACAGGAAAACTTGAGGCTTTTGCCAGCCGGGCCAAGATTGTGCATATTGATATTGATTCAGCCGAGATTGGGAAGAATAAGCAGCCTCATGTGTCTGTTTGTTCAGATGTGAAATTGGCATTGAAGGAGATGAACAGGATATTGGAGAGTAAGGGAGCTAAGCTTAAACTTGATTATTCAGCTTGGAGGCAGGAGTTAAACGAGCAGAAGCTGAAATACCCTTTGAATTACAAGACCTTCGGTGAAGCTATTCCACCTCAATATGCAATTCAGGTTCTTGATGAATTAACCAGTGGGAATGCGATTATAAGTACTGGCGTTGGTCAGCATCAAATGTGGGCTGCTCAGTTTTACAAATATAGGAGACCTCGTCAATGGTTGACATCAGGAGGTTTGGGGGCTATGGGATTTGGATTGCCTGCTGCCATTGGAGCTGCTGTTGCAAATCCCGGGGCTGTTGTTGTAGACATTGATGGTGATGGAAGTTTTATCATGAACGTCCAAGAGTTGGCAACAATCCGTGTGGAGAATCTACCCATTAAGATATTATTGTTAAATAATCAGCATTTAGGCATGGTTGTTCAATGGGAGGATCGATTTTACAAGGCAAACAGGGCTCATACATATTTGGGAGACCCATCCAATGAGTCTGAAATATTTCCGAATATGTTGAAATTTGCAGAAGCATGCGGAATACCTGCTGCCCGTGTGACAAGGAAGGAAGATCTCAGAGCAGCAATTCAGAAAATGCTGGACACTCCTGGACCTTACTTGTTAGATGTAATTGTCCCCCATCAAGAGCATGTCCTGCCTATGATCCCCAGTGGAGGAGCTTTTAAAGATATGATCACAGAGGGTGATGGAAGAACACAATATTGATTTTAATGAGCATCAATATTTTTTTTTTGCTAATGCAGATCAGTTATGGACGCTTAGCTTTGAATTGTGGCGGTTTTCCGGGCTATAAGTTTGTTATCTTTCATGAGAATTACGTGGAGGAAACTTGCTTGTGCCCCTATAATTAGTTTTTCTCTCTTTTAAAAACTATCAAGCAGGTTTGTGTTTGGACCTATAAAAATCGTGTATGTCTTTTAGTCAATAATGTACTTTGTACTAGATGAATCTAAACTTTAATTGTTGTTCAACATCAGCTAGTTTTCTTCCAGCAAAACAGAGCTTGAATTGTCATTATTGAAAAAAAGGGTTCTTTCCAAGAACTTTTAATGAAGGATAAGCTGCAAGATCTTCAGCAAATTTATTTAGGCCTTTATTTTCAAAACTAATTTTGACAAAATTTTCTTCGAAATCTTAGCTCAGAAAACCATCCATGCAGAGCCATTGATCCACAAAGATTGATTAATCTCATCGAAGAAATCAGAAGTCACCTTTTGGCCTTTGCATGCCTTACTGCAAATATCATCATCAGTTTCAAGTTACTAGTAACAAATTGCATCTAATTCATGAAATGGACCCATTGAAAGCATATGCTAGTTGAGCTTTCAAATGTGAAACGATAATTTGTGTTTTACATGTTTTTACATGAAACATACACGATATAAACATATAAATTGTCAGATTTAATATAAATTTTGAACACCTTGTAATTAGATGTGAGATAAGTTCGAATATCAAAATTACTTGTTAACTAGATATATGATCATGTACGATCCAATTATATAAATTTTGAGTACCTTATAATCGGATATCAAAATTACTAAATTAGTGTTGTCTCTGATTTTAATAGTAAAATTAACAATGTGTGTTACATAATAACAATGGAGATTCAGAGTGAAATTGATGTTGTAACAGGAGACTGTTCAATTATTATTGTAAGAAACATATAAATTGTAAATTCAAAAACTTTTACATTTGAATAGGCTGCTTTCAGCCATGTTGATGATGAGAAGAAGAGAGAGCAAAAAATGAACCAAGATACATCGCCGCATTGCTGTTCGACTTGGCCATTTCTTCTCTCTTGAAACTCTATAGTTTCTCGTCTTGCTTAATTATAAGAATGGCAGCCCTATTTATAGCCAAAAAAAAAAAAGAAAAAAAAAGGGAAGACATGAATTAGATGACTTTAATCACAAAATTTTTTTACTAAATTATTAGTTTATTTTCTACAAAGTAGCCGTCCTAGTGTCTTTTTAACTTAATTATTACACATGTTGAGACCTAAGGACAGATTCAGGATTTTTGATTAGTGGAGGCAAAAATTTAAAATTAACTTAAAATTTTTTTATTGAATTACAAATTAATAGAAAACAGTTACAAATAAAATCAAGATGTATAACATATTTTCTGTACACAAAAAATTTTTGCTATAAAAATAATTTTTGTATAGTTAAAATTAATTATATGATTTTTAACAAATATATTATAAACACTATTTAGATAAATCAGCTTTCAGTATAAACACACATATTAATTTAATTAAATTTTACTTGTAAAATTTTTAAACTTGAAATAAACAAATATATTTTATTTCTTATTTATTATAATTTGCAGAATAAAAATTTCTTTTTTTTATATCTAATGAAAAGAAAAATGAAGATATAAATCTAAATGATTTTTATTTTATTTTATTACTTCTCATTTTATATGGTACTTCTTTTTCTTTTTTTTTTTTTTTTTTTTAAAGAAGTGGTTAAAACCATTTAAGTAATGCAAACTCTAGGTCTCCTTATCCTTATAAGATCACCTTAAATCAATCTAAATGAATTACTAAAAAAATTTTGAAATTAAATAATTTCACTCTCTAAAAGTAATTTTTTTTTTACAAACTTAAATATATATAAATATATATTATAATGAAATTATTTAACACCCAAAGAATCAATGTTCAATTATTAGATAAATAATGAAATATTTTTTGTATGAGCCTTAATTTAGTGGGGGCAAATTTGATAAAAATATTTTTAGTGGAGCAAATTTTAAATTTTTAAAACTTTTGAGTTTTTTTTAATAAACCTAAAAAATTGCGAACTCAGTGGCTGACGTCCGTCCTTCAGACCCCAATTTTATATTTTTCTTTTTTTTTTTTAGAATTATTATTTCAAACCAAATTGGTGAAGAAATGGCGAGCTTTACAACTCCAAAATACGATTTATTCGATGTTATTTACCAACAACGGCAGGTCTTTATTGCCCAAAAAATTAAGGATTGGAAGGGAAAAGATTATTGGGCAGACTATATATATTAGAACAAAACTCCATTGACGGGTTAGTCAAATCTGGAGCTCAACGATCAAAACATTTTCTCTACATTTGAATGTTTTCTTCATCGTTTTCTTTGGTTCTCTGCATGTTTATCTTGAATTTTGTGGTTGTGTGGCTTCACAAGGAGGGTTGGTTGGGGTTGTATAATGAAAGCATAAAATTATGCTTTTGTTTTTTTTATTGGTCTTTAACTTGCATGGGATCATGGTTTAACGAATATTTAGGTCTAATCAGATTCTCTTCTAGCTGCTCGGGAAGATTATGCAATCTCTTCAAGATAAAGATTCTCTCTTTCAAGTGATATATGAATGTAAGCAGTCCCCAAGCCTTTGGTCTAGTGGCTAAAGGCGTTTGAAGAAATATAAAGGACCTGATTTCGAATCAAGCCTCCCTCTTTCTCCTTACTTGTACTAGAGTTTTGTCTTCCTTATGTAACCAATATATATATATATATATATATATATATATATATATATATATATATGAATGTAAGCAGCTTTTACATAGAAATTGGGTTAGCTCATTGCTGTCTTTCTCATGTTTATGGAGAAGCAATTTTTTGTCCAGATTTTCTGACCACAAAGCAGCTCTTGAGGGGGAGTTTGATGTTGTCTAACTTCATTCTCCACCCACTCCTTTTATTAGATATTTGTAAGAAGATATTATAGGTATTGTGAGATCGAAACCTATGTTTTTTAAGCAGTTTGTTACCTCTCTTCCTTAAAAAAAAAATCTCCTTGGAGACATATGCTTTTATTTAATTCTATAATCCGAACGAAACTTTTATTTTGGTTCAAATTCCATGACCAGGCAATTGAAAAGAATAACTTCATCAATATAAAAGGAATATTGCCCCAAACTATATATATAGCCCTGCGATCAATACCCTTTCTCTTGTGAAGGGTAAAATAAAAAAGTAAAATAAAAAAAAAGTAATAAATTTTTAGAAAGAAAAGCAATACAATGCAATGTAATATTGAAAGTAAATGCTAATATTTTTTATAAACATCCAAATTTATTTGGGATTATTTGAAGATGATTCGATCTAAATTGTAATTAGTTCCGCTTTTTTTTAAATGAATATTTGGGATTAATTTGATTTTCTTCTGTTTGTCATCAACTTTCGGATTTAGATGTTACAATATTTATTGTTCTTATATTTATTTAAGGAAATCAATGGAACAAAGGTTATAATTAATTACTTCCATAGAAATAAAATTGTGCGAAACATATATAATGGAAGAGATCTTCATAATTCAAACTTTATTCGTACAATATTTAATGGAAAAGATCTTCATAATTCAAACTTTATTCGTACAATATTTAATTACTTATTAGACAATATTGCTTTGAAAAAGGTTTGTTCTTCAAAAATCAAACTCAAATGAGGAAGCCATCCACGCAGAGCCATTGACCAACAAAGATATCGTCACAGTTAATGTTTGGATTGATCACCTTAAAGAAATCTACAGTCAGATTGAAAGCTTGAGAAATGCTAAAGCAAGTGTCACCGTCCCTTGCACCAAACACCTTCTCACAAAGTGGGTTCGATGATTTTTTTCCCTTTTCAAACCCGACTGCACAAAAACGAGACAATCATAATGTTAAAATATATTTATCAAAAACAAAAAATTATTCCAAATGATTTTTTAAATATAGTGAAGGTGCTCAAACGATCTTAGTCATGTACTTCTCTACATCAACTTAATCTATTCAAGATTTTATTTTGGAAGTGCTTTTCACAAAAATTAAACCCTGATTGATGAGAAAAGAAGCTCCTCTCGTTACTAACTAAACGAATTCGTTGAATTTTATCAAATTATTTGATTTATCATAAGAAAAAAAGCTAAGCCAAACAGTCGTACGGTTTATGGATAGATACTGTACTTTTAATTTTAGTGATCGAAGATCTTACATAAAAAAAAAAAAAAAAAGGTTAGAATGTTGTTTGAATTGAAACTAATTAACCAACGTACTGCCAAAGAATCTGCTCTCTGCCATGTTGAAGATGAGAAGAAGAGAGAGCAATAGGGTTAAGTTAACCAACATTGCTGCTGCCTTGCTGTTAGAGTTGGCCATAGCTTTATTTTCTCTTTTGACTCACAATTGGAACTCTCTAATTATATTTGAGCGATTGGAATGATTAACATTTTAAGCACATACATACTTATAGGGGAAACCATCCAGTAAGAAAACAAATTATAAGACCAGAAGTGATAATTTTTATAGTAATTTTTTCTCTACAAGAAGCTATGGCCGTCCTCTTGTGTTTTGGAATTCTGTTATGTTAATCCAAATTTGTGAAAAACAAGGCGAGTCATACAACTTAAAGTATAAGAAAAATTATTGGAATGTTGTCACGGGGCAGGCCTAAGTATGATCTGCTGCAGGCCATGGCTAATTAGAAGAACATATTTGTTTAAGCAGCTTTTAATTTGTTAATTTGATTGTTGATCTAATTTTTGATCTAGTGATTGAGAATCTCGCTGAAAATTAAGATGCAGAACGTGTTAGATCTATCACAAAGAAAACAAACATGGAATGTCAGAAGTAGAACCTCGACTCCAGATTAGATCTATTTAAATTACTATTAAAAAAGCTTTAGGATTTATCCGAAATTTCAAGTAATACAATTGAAATTTTTTCAGTAGAAAGAATCTT